CAGCCCGAAAGTTTGACGAAACTCGCGAAGAATTAGTAGCAGTAGCACTGGCAGAAGTAGTAGTAGTAGTAGTAGTAGTAGTAGCAGTAGTAGCAGTAGTAGCAGTAGTAGCAGTAGTAGCAGTCGTAGCAGTCGTAGCAGTCGTAGCAGTATTAGCAGTCGTAGCAGTAGGAGTAGTAGTAGTAGTAGTAGTAGTAGTTAGTAGTAGTAGTTAGTAGTAGCAGCAGTAGTAGTAGTAGTAGCAGCAGCAGCAGCAGCAGTAGTCGTGGTGGTGGTGGTGGTGGCGGTGGTAGTAGCGTGCCTTAGACTCTGAAGGGAAAGCATCCCAGGTCTTCTTCTTGAACCGACTCCAACGCTACCTCCGACGTGCTGCCGGGCTGCCCGAGTCCCCGCGCGAGATCGTGGAGACGGACACCATGGTTTAAAGTTTGGAGTTAAGCATTCGGATTTCAACCTAAACCTTAAGCTCCAAACCCGAAGTGCTAAACTAAACCATAAACCATGCTTCATGGGCTATGGGGTGCTATAGGGTTTCGGACTTCAGGCTTAGGTTTTGCGCTTAGAGGCCTTCCGGGCTTTCGGGTGGTGGAGGGGTGGACCGATTCAACCAAGCGGCCGACTCTGCCGCCCTCAAAGCAAGGTTCAGGGTTAGGGGTTTAGGGGTTTAAGGGTTCAGGGTTTAGGGGTTTGGGGGTTTAGAGCTCAGGGCAACGAAGCCCACGATAGATGTCTTCAGAGTTCCTATAACTATACTACGCACACCCGAAGCTCAGTTTCAATTTATTAACGCCCGTTATTGTCAGATTTTGGCCCCCCGCGATGGACTTACAGAAGCTACAGGTTGTAAGATTTTGGAGCTGTGCCAATAGAAGCCTGAATGAGTAAGAATACAATTCCTCAGAGCTGGTCAGTGCATAGTATGCACCAATACCCTACTCTAGGAATAATGTCCCCTGCGTTGTGACGTTCCATCGCAAGATTGCCTCTGCGGACAGAGCTTCTTATTTCCAGCATCTTCAAAGTTTTGCAAATCCAATGCCAGTGTTGGCTACAGTCTAGGGTTTACGTTTTGACAGATGCCAGCAAGCATATGTTGTAGTTTTGTGTGGACCTTTTACATACACCCGCCCTATACGACCGTACTCTCGAAGATGACTATAGGGGCTGCACCCCAACAAGGGTTTGTGTTCAACCCTAAACCCCAGACCCCTCAAAATGCGTTTCCGAACGTTTTCAACCCCACACAATGGACCCCTAAAACAAGCTTTACAGAACCCAGGCAACAACCGTAAAGAGCCCTTGCGTCCTCAAACCTCCAATCCAAACCCTAGATTTATCTAGACACGCACACACACACACATCCACACACTTTAAACCTTCACCACTAACCTTTAAACCTTAAACCCCCAAACTCTAAACTTAAAGCCTAAACCCTGAACGTGAGAGTCTCCAGGACAAGCCACGGCACCTCTCCTCCGCCGCTGCCGTTGCTCGCCTGCTAAACCTAAACCGCTAACTTGCGCTTTAGTGATTCAGAGTATAAAGGCATGTGTATTTGGGTTTCAGGCGAATGCGCTGGGCTTGCCCGTAACAGCATGTGGCCGAAAGACGCACGAATGGAGTCCATGTTGTCGCGTCAGTGTCATGCTGAATGTTGCTACATGGACAACATGTCCGAGCAAGGAGGGCAATTAGGCCGCTCATCACGTATACCGTATATTAATATCGGTTTCAGCAAGCTGCTGTCCTGGCTTTGTGGTACAAAAATGGGTAGCTCTCTAAATTAGGGTCCCGTTTAGGGTCCTTTTTCAAAAGGGTGCCGTACTATATTGGGGACCTAAGAAAGGGACCCTAATTTAGAGAACTACCCAGATCAGCTCCGCCATCACGAAGTGGACTTTTGTGTGGCACGAACGTTCTTGTTGCGATCTTGGAGAGACTGCAAGGCCTAAGCTGCCCAAGCCCTCATCCTACTGTTTAGGGTGTAGGGTTTAAGGGTTTAGGGCTTAAGGGATTAGGGTTTAGGGTTATGGTTGAAGCGTCTAGGGTTTAAGGGTAGGGTTATGCTTTGCAGGGCATGGTCTGCAGGCTGCAGGAGGCAGGAAATGTAACTTGGCCCTGCATAACCCAACGGGCCCCACAAGGCCAAACGAAGTAGACGTTCCAACATGCAAGCAGACTCTTCAACCTTATACCGCAAAGCCTGACCTTTAAGCCGTTAAGCCCTAAATGCTTAAACCCTTAAACCGTCTGCCGCAGGTGGAAGGGGTGGAGCCGGTCAGATCGCGGCTTTTCTTTGGCCACAGTGTCTTGGCGCTAGGGTTTGGGGCTTAGGGGTTAGGGGTTTAGGGTTTAGGGTTTTAGGGTTTAGGGTTTAGGGTTTCGGGTCCTCGATCTCACATGTCTTGGTGCATCTTCAGAGCTCCCAGTGCCTTATCCCTCACGGTTCAAAAGACCCCCATGATTGAGTAGAAGCTTGGGTTTAGGATAGTAGTTCTTAGTCTTTGGCTTGCGCATGTCCTGGTGGCGTCAGAGCTCAGTGCTTCATGGTGGCCTGAAGAAGTATAGTAGAGAGGTCCCCATACAGTCCCTGTCATTATGCCCAACCCATATTCTGTAGCCCTAAATCTAGACCCTAAAGCCCTGAACCGTCAGGGTCCATGTTTGGGGGAATTGGAGCATCTAAGCCTGAGGGGTCCGGCCGGCTGGGTGATATTACTGTGGGTAAGCTTTGGGGACCCGGACCTTCTAAGATCCCTTGATTTAGAAGGACTATATACCTTAACCGAACCGGTTTAGGGTTTAGGGGTTAGGGGTTTTTAGGGGTTTAGGGTTAACTTGTATGTACGGATCCCTAATATTGTTTAAAGGTTATATTCCTTAGCTAAGGGATCTGGGAAGGTCTCGGGCCTCCGAAGCCCGAAACCCGGCCCTGGGTCTCAGCTTTAGGCTCTCAAGGTAGGCATAGCTCCCGAGGTCGGTAGCCTGGCAAAAGCTTCGCGGTTTAGGGTTTAGGGTTGTGTTTAGGGTTGTATTTAGGGCTTAGGGTTCAGGGTTTAGGGTTTGGGGCATCGTCCCGCTTTGCGGTGCACTGATGCAGCGGATGCAGGCTGCAGAAGAGAGTTGGGCATTTTGGGTGTGAGGGCTTAGAGATTCATCCTCCCGCTTGGACTGGCCCCTGAACCCTAAACCCAACTAAGGGCTCAAGCGAAAAAGGCTAACCTAAATTTCAAGAATCCAAACCGATCGTTGCCAGAAGCCGGAACTACCCCAATTAGGTGGCACTTGGGGATAGTTTAATACCTTACAGTATATGCTTTGGCCTTGACGTAGTCCCCATCTAGGTACTTTGGGGCCAAAGTATATGCTACTTGGGTGCATGAACCCTTATATACCCTAAATATCCCTAAACTTTTGGTACCCCTTGCAGATTCCTGAAAGGAACCACTTAAAGACTTCAAGGAACCCTGTATTTGGGCACATGGAGGCGAGCATGGCGGTATCTATTCAGGCTGTGAGGGGACCTTCAGTTCTTGCTTAGCCCATAGGGGGGAACTCTAGACTTGTTGGCCTTATACAGGGTTTCGGGTTTAGGATTTAGGGCTTACAGAGGGTTTAGGATGTATATTTGGTCTATCTGAAAAAGCTTTGAACTTCCTTCGGCCCGGGTATTGAAGACGAGGGATTTTGCTGAGCCACAACCTGAGGCTCTTGGCTGCAGGGGGTGATCACCCTTCTCTTCGGGAGCTCCTTCTCAAAGTATCTGCCAGGAGGACCTCGGCGCAAAGGTTTTCAAAACCCTAAACCCTAAACCCTAAACCACCGGATGAGTTTCAGGAGGTTACATGGTTTTGGAAGTCGGCCTTGAGGCTCAGTCAAGTTCGGGGATTTTTCGGGTTTTAGGGCGTTTGAGGTTTCGGGCTTAGGGTTTAGAGGTTCGAGTGCTCAGAGCTGGGTTTAGGGCTTAGGGTTTAGAGGTTTAGGTTTGGGGTTTTAGGGTTTAGGGTGTTTAGGGGCCCCAGGGCGGATGAGCCCAACTAAGGGTCCAAGCCACAAGCCTAAAATCCTTGCATTCTTGACCTTCAAGATCCTAAACCTCAAACCACGTGGTTTTTTTTTCAGAGGTTGACTTGAAGTCGAGGGGTCCAAGCTATTTGGTATTAGGGTTTTGGGTTTGGGGTAAGCCCGCATGTGAGCCCTTAAACCTTCGTTTTGTGCACAGGACTCTGGTAGGGACAACAGTTGACCAGGATTTAGTGATGCTGACCGGGTAGAGTCCCTGACTGTGTGGGAGCACTGTTGCACTGTAGGGTTGTGGTGCAATTTTGTCTTATGTAAGAGGTTTCTGGCTTGTAGAATTTTGGGGGCTGTAGGGTTAAATGGGGGCCCTGGATTGATCGCTGTAGGGCTGGAGGGCTGCAGGATTCATTGGGACTTTCTACGGCTTGGGGATGCAGAGCTATGGGGTTTTATGCTTTCGGTTTAGGGTTTGGGGGTTTGGGGAACTATAGCGTTTGGGTTGTGCATTTCATATGCAAATGTTAATTGTTGAAGCTTCTTCTACGACGAAGCCTATTTAGCGGGTTCATATATATATATATATCAGCACACACACACACGTTTAGAGTTTTGCTCCAGTCACACACACACACACTGCACACAAACACACACTGACACGAACGGACAAGGCAACAGAAAGCCACCCTTGAAGACCCTGGCAGAACCCTCGTCGAGCCCGAAAGGAACCCTAAGACGAAGCCCCTGTGTTTCCCCGAAATGAGAGGAGTGGACACGACCTTCGTGAAGCAACTTCGGTTAGGCTTCCTCGCACGAGTTTTGGTGCGCCTGGAGAGGCACCGCGACCCAGCAGGTCTCCGAGTCGTTTTTAAGTTTGCGAACTCCGACTCGGAGCATCTTTCGACCATCTTCAACTTACCCTTTGAGGAGGTTGATTCCTGGTGGACCAACGTCCTCCAGGCAGCAACGGCTCCTAATCTTTCGTGATGCGGGTCATTTTAAGAGTTTTTTTCGAGGCAATCCCGGCGAATTCAGGCCAGGACTTCAGGAAGGAGGATTCCCCTGACCAACTTTGTGGCATCACGAGCTCCGCAGCCCTTGCACATTGCAATCTCTCATCGGAAGACAAGTCCTAAACCCTAACACCTAGACGCTCGACCCTTCATCTATACAGAACCTGGGGTTCGGGGTATTTTGCTGCTGGACATTAGTAGCCCCGCCAATGGCTTGCCAGAAAGACCGTAGACTGTAAGCGTCAGAATAACACTTCGTAATTGCCTTATAGTCCCTATATGACTGTAACTACAGGTTCAGATGCTCCACAGCCCAAGTCTAATTTAGGAAAGCCCCCATATCAATTACCAGTCTGGTCAAACCCCATGACATGAGCCCTTTTAGCCGAAGTCAAGCCATGCACGGCAAAGCACATGTAAATCGCAAAACCCCTACACTGTAAATCCTAAAGGCCCAAACTAGTTAGACACCCCACCCAAAAGTTTGTCAGGGGCTCAGATGCGAGAAGCATCGTACAACCACTTTAGCGGAGCCTGGTCTTATCGACTGTGCCCCCAGCTGCTGAAGCCTGACGCTCCAGCCGTTCTTTCCGTGGCAACTCATACCTATTGTCTCCTAGTCTATTAAGCTTTGGTCCATCGGCGCATCAATATTCTTTCTGCTTTCATCAGTAGAGAAAGGGCCTCGCAATGATAAAGGACCCTTTTGCGGACACAGCGTGCGCCAATCGAAATTGAGACGCTTCTGCGAACGGTGTTTCGCACACCGGGGTGCGCTTCAATATTGGGCCGTTGTTGGGGTTACATGATACACTGCGGTTATAGTAATAATATCACCTTACAGCACGTTGACACATATGTAGACAACCCCAAGACCTTATTCTATTTCATGAGGAACGTATTCCACATGCAGTGTCTGTCGGCTTTACGTGCATAGAGCACAGAGTCCGGCCGTAGATATCCGTGTTTGCAATGTCTTGGCCTGCGGCTATTCTGAAGAAATGTTAATAACATAAGTTTCCAGTCCTTTTGTATGAATAATATACGAGGGTCTCATGACCCCAAACCCTATGCTGGTCATTCAGGCCCCTGCTAAGCCTTCCGAAACCATAACAAGACATCCATTAAAACCATGTGTAGTATGAAGCCCACTATGTAACAACATGGCCTTATCACCGAACCCCTGTGTCTGCAATCCTCTAAACCCTAATCCCTAATCCCTAAACCCTAAACCCTAAACCCCTAAAGCCCTAAACCCTAAACCCTGCAACCCCTGACCACAAGCAGGCCTCAGACTCCAAAACCCCGCGGCCCTAAGCCCAAACTACTACGATTCACTACGGTTGATGATATAAGTCCTGCATTACCCATAATAAGGAATATACTTTTCTTCCCACAGCTTATAGGGTCCTTAAGGTAATGCAGGGTTTATATCATCAACCGTACGAAATATGTTTGAAGTCCCTAAAGATTTCAACCCTTGCGGGTCTAGGGCCCTAAATCCTGAAAGTGCTTCCAAGGCCTCGGCGCGCCGGGCCAGTGGTGACGCCGCTGCCCCGCCGAAGCCCGCGCGTCGTATGAGAGAAATTTCTGAGCTATTGTTGAGGACTTAACTCAAGTTGCCACAATATGGGGATCTAGGATAGTAAACAAAACAGTTTCCTTATTATGATAGCTTAAATTTGGTTCCTTAACAAGCGACCCGTGAACCCGGAACCCTGAAACCCCAAAACCCTAAACCTCACATGCCTGAGCCCTCAAAAGCTGACTTCAGGAGTGTTGATTTCCTAGACCCTCCATTCTTTAATCACGAACATATACCCTTATTTGAGACCACAACCCTAAACCCTAAAACCCTAAACCCCCCTAAACCCTAAACTCTAAACCCCTAAACCCTGAACCCTAAAACCCTAAAACTGTAAACCCTAAACCCACAAGGAGGGCCGTGGTTTGTTTCAGAAGACTGTGGGTCGAACCTGTCGAGACGTTTAGCTGAGGCCTTCTTTTCATTCACTTTTCTGAAGGCTACACACCCTACCCTAAGGGTCCATGGACCTTAAGGGTTCCTCTTCTTAAGGGCACCATAATAAGGGTTCTATAAGGGTTCTACAGGGTTCAGGGTTCAAGGGTTCATGTACCCAAACAGTATATACCTTTGACCCCAAAGTACATATATAGGGACTGCTCTTCAGGGCAATTTATATACTATCTGGGTACATGGACCCTTAGGGCTACAGATCCCCCATAAAGAAATCCTTAAGGAGCCCTGCAAAAAGGGTCCCCTAAACCCTAACCCCCAAGCCCTAAACCCTAAACCTCTAAACCCTGAACCCTAGGGTATGTTCCTTAGTTATTCGTTTTCGAGAGGCTTTTCAATTGGCACGACGGAGCGCCGGTGGGGCTTTCCCATCAATGCAGTCCTTGTACTTACGGCTTAGGGTTTAGGGTTCGCAGATCTGTACCATATTGTACTTGCAGAAATGGTGAGTCGTATGTGTAAGTATACGCACCCATAATGGTTTCGCTGTCTCGGTATGCTTCTGTGAAGGATATAAGGCTTTGTGTGTGCATAGACTACGCTACCTTCGTTGCTACCCTTATCTTCAGATTGGCTTGCGGGTCGGGTTGGTTGTCTCCGGGTCGGCCTGCCTTGATTTTCAGGGTGTTGTTGGGCGAGTAGACTCGGTTTCCAACCTTCGGTACCCTTTAAACCCTAAACCACATTTTTCTGCTACCGCCACGAGCGTTTGTGTATACATGACCAGCCCTATGTGACAGCTTGGTGGTCTCTTCATATGGCTTTCGAGAATAGCTTAGGAGTCAGACACCTCAAACCCATTGCAATGACCAAGGCCCATATATATATATATATTGTGTATATATGCATATACATATATACATACATGTATGTATATATATATATATACATACATATATGCATGTATGTATGTATGTATGTATGTATGTATATATATATACATACATACATACATACATATGTATATTCTAGTGTCTGTGCCCAACCCTAGTGGGTTTAGGGATGTCGGGGTTAGGCTCTAGGTTTTTGTGTAATTGGAGCCTTTTTGTTGTGGTCCAGCCGGCATCGAGAGCCCTTTGCGCAAGATGAGCTAGCTGGAGCATCGTTTGGAAAGTCCATGTGCGTCTGGCGCAGTTAATGACTGGCATCCGAGCCTCGCCACAGGTCAGGGAAGAGCCCAAGTTTCAAGGTTTAGGGTTTAGGGATTTAGGGGTTAGGCCGCAAGGAACCACTCCGAAACCCTACATAGCCCCAGTGTGACCACTGCTGGCTTTGCGGGTTTCAAAAATTGCCATGCATGCAGACACACTTGCCAAGACAGACAGCACTCTAGAACCCACGCCTTAAACGGCCCTAAACCCGAAACCGTGGTATGTTTCCCCGGGCTTAGAGTTTAGGGAAGGAGGGAATCTCCTTGACTGTGGCTTGTAGATTAAATCACCATGTCTTGCATCGCACCAAAGATGTGCTCAACTGCCTCTGCGACTTCGCAAGGACCCAAGTATGCCTCGATAGCACATACCATGCACCCTGAACTGGCATAGCATCGCAGATTAACAAGCCCATCCCAAAAAGTTAGGACCCTTCCCCGCCCCAGATGCAACTCCCTGAGCCAGTTCAGTCCGCCTCATAGTCAAGCCCTAGCTCGAAGCCCCACGGTCCACAATGGGAAGACTTGTCAAGGTTTGCGGCTCATCCTGAGAAGCTTCAAAATCGTGGATTAGTTGGTCGTTTACCTGTTTTATCGTCATCCGTTCCCAGTGGTTCCTTCGCATGTTCATAAATCTGGGGACGTGGTGGTCTGCAAAGTCAGAGCTGTTCACTGAGTTTACCTCAGCTCAAACATTGAAGGTCAGACGGCTTGAAACCTCAAGGGCCTAGGACCGTTGAAAGCCTTAAGGGCCTAGGACCCTTGAAAGCCTTGAGGGCTTAGGACCTACCCCCAAACCCCAAAGTCTAGACTCTGGCTGCAGTCTTGGGAAGCTTTCGGGAGACGGATCATAGGTGAAATGTAGGAAAATCTTCGAAACCTGGGCATTGAAACCGAAATCCGTAAACCCTGAACCCCTAAACCCCTAAACTCCAAGTGACCTGAAAGCTCGTACTGTGTAACTCCAAGACTCTGAAATCTTAGTCTTAGCTTTCAGGCTTTCAAGATGGAGGCTTCAGGGCTTAAGGTAAATTTAGGGCTTTAGGGTTTAGGGTTGGGATTTTGGGTGCTTGCAAATATCAACCTCAAGACCACGTATATAAGCCAAGTCTCCTTGCGGTTCAGGGCTTAACACGCTGGGCATAAACTCCAAGTTCTCCGCATCTGTCGACTCGATCCTAATCCTACGACCCTCAACACAAAATTGGCCCTAAACCCTAAAATAAACCCTACACCCCAAGCCGTTCCTCTGTATTAAAGGGGCCCTGCTAAACCTCCCAGGATGTAAGCCGCGGGGCAGAGCGGCATGGCGCATGACCAAAATGCTATTCTTACTGTGAACCATCTGTAGTAAGAACAGCGTAGTGTTGGTATAACTCTTCTTATTCGTATTCTTTGTTATTTATATTAATTAACATTTCAGGCTGGTTAAAAAACGGAGATTGGTATATACCAAAGTTTTTCAGACCCTAAGCTCGAGCCACCCAGGTTTTAATCCGCAGCCCAAGCTTTGAAGCTTGGCACATGTTGCGCTCCGATCGCCGGTCGGCTTGTGCAGTGGTCTGCGATGGCAAAAGAAGCGGGTTTAGGGTTAGAAGATAGAAGGGCTTAGAGTTTAGGAGCTTGGAGTTTAGGGTTAGAGAGTTTTTGCGACATGGGTGAGGATTCTCCAAGGTGCGAGAAATTTGTACATGTCTTGTTCTACTAGACTCCTAGACTTCATCAAGATGTTCCGGCGCTTCACATCTTTCGTAAGATATCGGAGCCTATTTGACAGTGTGTCTGC